AATGGAGTTCCTGGTAGTAGATGCTGAAGGCTCAACTGGTGGGCTATTGTGTATTTGGGATCCAAAGGTACTACAATTATTAGAATGCTGCTATAATAGAAGGTTTATATTGATATCAAATACTGTTTTTAACTCATTTGATTGTGTGATTTTAAATGTGTATGCTCCTAATGAGGTTGGTAGAAAGGGTGAGTTCTTGAACTGTTTATTTAATCTTAAGGAGTTTTCCAAACCTTGGTGTTTGGGTGGTGATTTTAATGAAATAAGGAACACAAGGGAAAGGAGATGGTATTCCAGAAGGGATAGAGGGACGAAGGAGTTTGTTAGGTTTTTGTTATTGGCAATTCCCGTTTGACAAAACTCCTTTCAATTGTAAAATATTTGTTGTTTTATTTTAGTGAGGCTATTATTTTAGTGAGGTTATGAGTATTTAGATGCGAATTTAACCCGAATTGTGCCTTGCGGAGGAGTTTGTGATCTTAATCCTATTTGTGTTTTCCACTTCGCTGACTATGTTCGGAATCAAGCTGCCCGGTCAGCTTGCGGGGGTCCTGCGCTTGAGCAGAGATACAATCCGTTCAGAGGTTTCACTTGCCTGCAAAAGTATTGGAAGCTATTTTTTTCCGCTCAAGTAGCTATTCCTGCAATCAAGCGTAGACCCTGTTTAGTCACCAGCGTTTTAGTCACTCCGCTCGAGCGGCCATTCTTGCTCTCGAGCAGAGATCACGGATCTATTTGTTATAAAAGTTGCGGTTTAGTCAGGATTTAGGGTACGGCTTCCAGATCTTCTTCTTGGGTATTAAGGTTTTCATTTGGAACTTCTTTGCTTGTTTCCTTTGATATCTGTGAGAGTTTATATCATGAGTTGAGTGAATTATATCAAAGGGTTTGTTTGTTTTGTTTTATTCACAAAAGAAAGAGTTGTTCTTCGGTGGATTCCGTAGAATTTGGGCTTGAAGCTTTGGTGGATTCCAAAGTGGCTCATCATCGTAGATTCGACATCGGCGTTATGGATTCAACGTTAGGCAAGACAATTCCGAGGTAAAGACAGTGGTGGAAAAGGCACATTGGGGTTGGTTCAATTTGGGTGTAGATTCACTAGGTAATTGAGATTACACTTATGTAATTCCTTTTGGTCTCCTTAGTGGATTGTTTTGTGACTTTGGCCCGTGGTGTTCTATCACAATTGGAGGCACTCCAATTGTGGTTTTTCCACGTTAAAATCATTGTGTCGATTTGTCTTTGATTCTTTGATTCTTTGATTGGAATTGCTATCTACTGGTTAAAATTAATACATAATCACAAATGAATATCTCCGGATTTTGAGATTTTTCAGAGTTTAATGAGTTTATTGATAAGTGTGAAGTAATTGATGTACCACTATTAGGCAGGAAATTTACTTGGTTCAATGAAAGGGAGAGGGAGAAATGGAGCATAATTGATAGGTTCTTGGTGAATCCAGAATGGGTAGAGAAGTTTAATTTGAAGTTGTGGGGTCCACCTAGAATGATATCAGATCTTTGCCGCTTTTTACTTCTGGAGGATGTAAGAGACTGGGTTAATGCTTGGATGTTTCACCCAAAGTTCCTATCTTTCATAGAAAAAATCTGGAATAAGTCAGCAGTGGAGGGCTGGGCTGGATTTGTGCTGTTTAGTAAATTGAAGGCTCTGAAAGTTGCTCTAAAAAAGTGGAATAGAGAGATTTTTGGTAATATTACTCATAAATTGAAACAAGCTGAACTGGAGTTACATAATTTTGATCTATTGGCTGTGGAAAGGGATCTTGATGATGCTGAGAAAGCAAGAAGAAGAGAGGTCAGGGGGGATGTGTGGAGGCTAAATAGGATAACAGAGGGGGTTTGGTTGCAAAAATCCAGGCTAAACTGGTCTTTAAATGGAGACAAGAATACTAGGTTCTTCCATGTTATGGTTCGAAGCAGACAGGGCAGAAATGAGATTAACTCAATTAAGATTGGTGATGTAGTGCATGATGTGCCTAGTGATGTTAAGATTGGGGTGTATAATCATTTCAAGAATCACTTCTCAGAATCATGGAAGTCAAGACCTAAACTGGGTGGGAGTTTCAAATCAGTGAGGAGCAGTTTAGTGTTCAATCAACTTGAAGATGCATTCTCAAAAGAGGAGATTAAGGCTGCAGTGTTTGATTGTGATGGAAACAAAGCTCCTGGACCTGATGGCTTCAATATGGGCTGTTTTCAGAAGTTTTGGAAGGTTATGAAAGATGGGGTGGTTCAGTTTATGAATGAGTTCCATAGAAATTGCAGGATGGTCACTGGGACTAATAATGCTTTCATTACATTGATCCCAAAGAAGCTGAATCCACTTGGGTTGTCTGATTATAGGCCAATTAGTCTGGTTGGATCACTGTATAAAATAGTTGCTAAGGTTTTGGCTGGAAGATTAAAAGGTGCCTTACCAGAAGTTATTGGTGAGGCCCAATTAGCATTTTTGAGGGGAAGGAACATACTTGATGGAGTGCTAATAGCTAATGAGGTTGTTGATGGGTGGAAGAAAGCAAAAAAGAAGGGTGTGATCATTAAACTAGATTTTGAAAATGCCTATGATTCTATTAACTGGGATTTTCTTCTATCAATGATGTCAAATTTTGGCTTTGGTGCTAATTGGATTTGCATGGATTGAAGAATGTATTACAACAGCTAGATTGTCCATTTTAGTTAATGGATCCCCAACTGAGGAGTTCAACCCACAAAGAGGCCTTAGGCAAGGTGATCCCTTATCTCCCATTTTGTTCAATATAGTTGCTGAAGGACCTAATATCCTACTGTCCAGAGTGTCTAAGTTGGGGCTTATCAAGGGAGTGAAGATTGGGGTGAATAGAACTAGGACAACACACTTGCAATTTGCTGATGATTCTATATTGTTTTGTGACGCAGGGCATAATGAAGTGGTGAAACTAAAAAGGATCTGAAGATGTTTTGAAGTTTTGTCTGGCCTCAAGATTAATTACTGCAAGAGTGTAGTGTGTGGGGTGGGTGTGCTTGAGGATACTCTGGCTGAATTTGCATCCCAACTCAATTGCAAAACTCTTGGCCTCCCTCTCAAATATCTTGGTTTACCATTAGGAGCTAATCCAAGTAGGAAGGCAACTTGGAAACCTATGTTGGATAGTGTGAAAAGTAAACTAGCAGGTTGGAAGAGAAGGTTTCTTTCCTTTGCAGGTAGGCTTACATTCATAAAATCTGTGCTGTTCTCTTTGCCAATTTATTATCTGCTCTGTTTAAGATGCTTGAAGGGGTGGCAAAAGAAATTGAAAAAATTCAAGCTTCATTTCTATGGGGAGGGTCTGACCTGAGGAAGAAAGTTTATTTAGTTAAATGGGCTGAGGTTACAAAAAGAGTGGATCAAGGGGGCTTAGGCATTAGAAGAATTAGGAATGTGAATGCTTGTCTGTTAATGTAGTGGTGGTGGAGGTTTGGGAATGAAAGAGAGGCATTGTGGAGAAGAATTATTTGTAGTAGGTATAAGCTTGATATGGGTAGCTGGGTACCTTCTTTCAGCCCTAATAGCAGGTATTCAAAAGTGTGGAATGGAATTGTTGCAATTGCAGAACAGAGGCCTAGATTGTACTTTCAGCTTAGTGTTGGGGATGGTAGTAGCATTAATTTTTCAAATGACAGGTGGTGTGGATTCACATTGTTGAAAGGTGAGTTTCCTAGTCTGTTTAGGCTTTCTGTGGAAAAGAATGTCTCTTTGAAATTGATGCAGCAGAAAAAAAGTATATTAGGGGAGTGGGAGTTTCAGTTTAGAAGAGGCTTGTATGAATGGGAGTCCCAGGAGGTCCTCAGGTTATCTACCCTTATTGAAAATGCATCTGTTATTAGGAATAACAAGAATGACAAAGCTGTGTGGAGTCCTTCAACCTCTTCCTCAGGTGTGTTCTCTGTGGCCTTCGCTAATAAAGTTGAAGAGGATTACCTTGGCCCCAAGCGCAGTACTATCAGGTTGGTATGGATCAAGCACATCCCTCCAAAAGTCCAATTTTTCGGATGGTTGGCATGGAAGAATAGGGTCAAGACTGCTGAGTATCTGCATAGAATTGGAGTCATTCAAGGCAATGAACCTGGTTTGTGTGTATTTTGTAAGGCAGAGATTGAAACTCTAAATCATGTACTCATCTTCTGCCATTTCTCCTGGCAAGTTTGGATGGATATTCTTAGATGGTGGGATGTCCAAGGAGCCTTGCCAGATTCAGTTGAAGAGTTGCTGCATTGGTGGTCTGGGGGTTGTGTTAAGAAGAAGGACAAACTGATCTGGTGTGCATCCCCTTTGGCTGTGCTGTGGTCCTTGTGGAAGCTCAAGAATGATTGTGTTCAGGGACTCTACCCCCATCTTGGCTGAAGTCTGAATTAATCAAGATCAGAATAGCTATGTGGGTTAATCTGAAATTCAAAGCTCACCACTTCACAATCAATGATTATGTGTTTAACTTCAGGCATATCAGGGTATGTCTTAGGCACAGGGTGGTGGTGGCTGTATAGTTTGATGGTCTTTGGGTATGAATGTGAGTGCAGTCCCTTGCTTTTGGGTTTGCTATGTGATTTTTATTGCTTTTTGAGTGGGTTGTTTGTGTTGGTTGGTTGCTCATCAACTTTGAGGTGTTAACTTAATTGGGATATAGAGTTAGTATTTGATATTTTGTGCACCTCTTTTCTTTATTGATGTATCTTTCTTGATAATTATCAATAAAGTTCTTTTGCCTATTCAAAAAAACAACGAAAAGTACAAAAACACAATTTTCATGTTTGGTTTTATACGCCACAATTGTTTTTATGCTACAACTCACTCTCACCAAGTTATGTTGCCTTTGTCAATCAATACAGAAGACTATCATGCCGTGCCTGACATGAAACACACATTTTAACAGATTTTGATTTTGAAACGATGTTATCATATTTATTTATTTTTCTGTAAATTTGAAAAACTATAATTGAATTAATGGAGTCATCATGGTATCGCAGGTGATGTTTACCAACAGAAAGGAGAAAGCTCAACTTTTAGAAGCTTTAGTGGTCAGTGACAAGGACTCAACCACCCCGACCTACCCCCAGGTTTCCAATTTTGTTTTTGACTGCTCTTTTAAGATTATTCCATCCATATCTTATTAATATTTTATTTACACGTTTTACTTTTTATAATTTAACTTAAATTTCATTTTTTTTTAATTTTAATTTGAATAATGTTGCAGAGGATTCACTTCTTGTGGGCAGACGACGACAAGATTTTCAATTTAGAACTTGCCCACACCATGAAAGGGTATGTCCTATTTCAACTTCACTAGACAATTTTGTTTCATTAAAATACACAAAATGCATTGTTGGCAACATTTCAAAATGAATACAATGTTGGTTGCATTTGAAATAATTTTATTTATTTATTTAATCTTAATTAGTCATTGATATGTACTAATTGGGTATTATTTTTATTTATTTATTTATTAATTACAGAAACACACTGCTTCATTAAAAATTTAATTAATTGTGACAAAAATTTACATAAATAGTCTGTCTAATTTGATCGTGTAGTTTCATTTGAATCAATTTGCTAGTTAATTTTCACATCATGCCAATTTATTTCAATTAACAACGATCATTAAGAAGTTGAACAAAAATTAAGTGTAAAATAGTCTATTTATTAATTTTATTTCTTACATTCATCTCCTCCCTAGCATACCTCCCCTGCCATCATATCAATTTTGCCCTTAGTTTCCATTCAGTTTCTTAACAGGTGTAATAAATTAGAGAAATTGATATTATGTAAAAATTTAAAATTTAAATTGTTACAATTGAAACTATAAAACCTGACACTGGAAGTAAACAGGTGTAATTTGCCTTAATTGTATATGACATGGGTAAGCCCATAAAGATTATGGCCCACTATTTGGGGCCCAATACATAACTCAAATGCTAAAGCCCAACACTGCTGAAGCCCCATGTAGCAATAAGAACTAATGACATCAAGACACATGACGAGAGAAGGGCAAGCCACATCAGCAGACAAAGATCTGTAAAGTTATTACCAGGGCACATCGCCATTAATGAGACCCTTTACAGCATTTATTGCGATAACCCCTTTCCGTCGGAACAAAACGCCTTCACCATGAACAAGGTAATCTAGAGCATAGACTTTCGGCCAAGGTGATAGGTCGGAAGGGACAACGAAATGATTACCATGGGATATAAGCAAAGGTCGAAGACAGAAAGAATGTTAAGCTTTCTATCTCTAATTCATCTCTATACTCCACTTCTCTCTCTAACTTGCTATCAGAGGGTTCGCTGGGGGACTCCTCATTCCCCGTTGAACTCTTGTGCAGGTCTTCGAGTGGGCATGGTCGCTCGGACACTAGCCAGAGGAGCGTGGATTAGTCCGACCGGTTCCACTTGGAACGAACTGCATCATCAGTTGGCGCCGTCTGTGGGAAAGTTTTCTTTTGCGCGTCAGTTGTGTTCATTGTCGCCGGAGACCCTCTCCCCGTAACCCCCTCCTACTACCTGCGAAGGTGGATGGTCACAACTAGATCTATGGCTTCTCACCCCAATGTTGCCGACCATCAAGCCGACCCTCCCAATCCAAACAACCCACCACAGTATTTCACCGAGCTCACCAACAGCATTAACCGTCTGGCCGAGCAAAACCAAGCCCTGATTAATGCTTTACTCCAAAGAAACCTTCCTATGCCTCCTCCACCACCTCCAGATATCCCACCCAACCAAGAGCGAGCCCTGAACCATACTATCCAACAGCCTAATCCACCCAACTTGGAAGGCTGGCGACCCCCTCCCCCAGATATAAATCCACCACTCCGCGCCCCACATCTATCGATCCTGGCACCAACCCCTGAAGGAGAGGCCAGCAACGTCCAGCCCCCGCTGCCCTCTGGTGGTGACAACATTCCTCTCTGGAATGCAGAACTCCGAACCATGAAGCTCCAACTCCAAGGAGTCATACAGAACATACAACATAAACCCTCCATCACAGCCAACTCACTATTCGTCGCCTCCATCCGGGACAAACCTCTACGCCTCAAGTTAAAAATGCCCACCATCGACTCTTTTGACGGCATGACAGATCAAGTCGACCACTTGGAGACCTACAGAACCCTCATGATCCTCCATGCATTCCCTGACGAAATCAGGTGTCGAGCTTTCCCCGTGACACTCAAGGGGTCAGCTCGACTTTGGTTTAGTCAATTGTCAACAGACTCTGTCTCCACTTTCCAGCACCTCAGTGACTCATTCCTCAGCCATTTCATTGGAGCCTAGCGCCAGCGGCGTCCAGCAACCCAACTCCTCAACATCCGTCAGACCGAGGAGGAGTCGCTGCGCAGTTTCGTTACCTACTTCAACACCGAAGCCTTACAGGTAGCGAAAAACGATGACAAGGTCATCCTTACGACTTTCATGGCCGGTCTACGGTCGTCTGACTTCCTTTTCTCCCTCTCTAAAAACCCCCCGACCTCCATGGCAACCCTACTTTCCAAAGCCCAAAAATACATGAATGCCGAAGATTCCCTAGCCGCTCGCCAAGACCCTACAGCAAAAAAGCCAACCCTTCGGGAAAAGTGAAAAGACTCAGAAACCATAAATACCCAGTATAATAACCCAACAAGTCAGTATACCGACCGACCCCCCCCCCGAGCCGACCGGTAGGCACCAGCCTGACTGCCCGGGTGGTTTGACCGACACACACCCCTCAATTCCCCCATGGAGCAAGTCCTCAATCAGATTCAACAGGACTACCCTCTAAAATGGCCCCAACCATCACAAACTCCTTCCAGTCGGAGAGACTAGTCCAAATATTGCCGTTTTCACCAGGACCACGACCATAATACCGAAGAGTGTGTTAACCTCAAAGATCAGGTCGAGGGCTTGATTCATCAAGGACGTCTCAGTCGATTCACGGATACTTGTCCTCAGCAGAGCCCACGGACTGAACCCATCAGAAACAACTACCGGCACACCCCTCCCCGACAACCAGCACAACCTAACCAAGGTCATGATCGCCCTCCACAGCAACCTCGGGCACAAGGCAACCCCGCCTCGCCTGTTGAAGAAATCAGAGTTATTTCCGGTGGGCTTGCTTGTGGAGGACCATCCTGCTCGGCTCAGTTGGCAGAACTCAGAAAAATAAGGCAGGGCTCAGACAAAGAAGTTGCCACATTAGACCGACCCCCCAAACAGCCCCGGTAGTGGACTGAGCCTATCACCTTTACGGACACCGACTGCACAAGCATCCGTTACCCCCATGACGACCCTCTCGTCATTTCCGCTCTCCTCTCTAATTACAAGGTCAGACGGGTTCTCGTCGACAACGGCAGTTCTTCAGAGATCATTTTCCTCAATTGCTTCCGCCAGCTCAAGATTGGGGAAAAAAGTCTGTCTCCTCTCCAAACCCCTTTGGTTGATTTTACTGGCGACTGGGTGACCTCCATTGGCTCCATCGATCTTCCCATCATAATCAGCGAGTACCCGTGGCAGACCACAAAGTTACTCACCTTCCTTGTTGTTGACTGCCCCTCTGCCTACAACATCATCCTTGGCTGCACCGCCCTAAATGCTTTCCAAGCTATCACATCCACTTATCACCTTGCCATCAAGTTCCCCACCAATCTTGGGGTCGGCACAGTAAGGGAAGAGCAGACCGTGGCCAGAGAATGTTATGTCGCCTCACTTAAAGAAGTCAAACTGAAGGAGGCTATGATCATTGAAGGACTCGATGTCAGAGACGAGGATGAGCTGGTTAGGGGGGAACCAGTGGAAGAACTTGTCGAGGTCTTCATCGATCCCACCAATCCAGCAAAAATAGCCAAGATCGACAGCCAACTATCCACCCAGGCAAAAGCCGACCTTACCGCCCTCCTGATCAAGCACAAAGATGTATTTGCCTGGACCCACTCTGATATGCCCGGTATCGATCTCTCCTTCATAACCTATCGCCTTAGCAATGAACCCCATTTTTGATCCTTCCGACAAAAGCAACGCGTCTTTTATCCAGAGCGCAACACTCTCATTGCCGCGGAAGTAGATAAGCTCCTTGAGGCACAATTCATCAAGAACGTGGACTACCCTAGATGGTTGTCAAACGTGGTCCTGGTCCGTAAAAACAACGGTAAATGGCGACTCTGTGTCGACTACTCCGACCTCAACCGAGCTTGCCCAA